CTTGACCGGATTTAGCTTCGGATCGCCAGAATCTCGCCGTCGATGAGGTTTCACCGTCGGGATTCGGTGGGGGAAGGTGGAGAAGGGATGTGGGAGCACTCTCTCCAAATCTCAGAGCCTGAGATGGCCTCTAGATCGAGCAAGAGCAAAAAGATCCAAAAATAGACTTGATTTTTAGTATTTAAGGAGCCTAAACCTATCCTCAACGGTTGGGATGAAATCAGAGGCTTAATGGGAGGGAAACCAGGCTATTTAGGCTGTGGTTTTGAATTTCAAACAAAGGGGAATCAATTAGAGCCTTAAATGGGCTATTAATGGGCTTTAATAGGTTATTATGACCTATTAGTGGCTTGGTTTGACCAAGTCAACGTTGTACTTGGTCAAATCAGTCAAATAGGTCAAGGGAGTCCAAGGATTGAGCCATGAAATCCATGAAATTAAGTTAGAATTGATTTTAGGCTCAAAGGGTCCAAATTGGTCAACCCCGGTTGACTTGGTCAACTGGGTTGACCCAGGGTCCAAGTCAAGGCTCAACAAACTCGACTCGACTCACTGAACCCATTGGAGAGGGTCATGGGGTCTGGCTTGGTCAATTTGACCAAGTCAACCTCTTTGACCAGGAGTCTGGGAAAAATCGAGGTCAACAGATGTTACTAGCAATTTTTTATCCAATATATTTTAGCTTTCAATTTCCAGTGTGCATGCAATATGGATGTGTGATTCCTTCAATGTGTGACACTGTGACTGCTTATGTGGAAAGTCATCTCTTTATATCAATATGATGCTTAAATTTTCTTCGTCTGGCAAACCCTTTTGTTTACCTAATTTCTTCTAAATATTTTGTTATTGGCATGCATTTTTTTTTTTTTGCTGAAAACATTGCAGTTGCTCTTTAATTTACGTTGTTTGAATTTCTTGTTAATTTATTTAAATTTCTTATGTCATTTCATTGTCATTTGGGTTCTAATTTTTTATATTTTCTTTTTTGGCTTACTCGTGAAATGTTGCAATTGCTCATCTCTTAATGGCCTCAATATATTTTTTTTGGTGATCAGGCATAAACTACAAGACTTCCCATGTAAAACTAGATACCATGCATTTGACTCCACCGTAACGTTAACATGTCAGTATCATGGTCATCATGTACACAAAATGCATTCGGATGCAATGCATGTTGAATCTTATGCAAAAATCGAGCAGGGGCCTGATGACTTATAAGCAATAAGATCATAAATTCATATATTCATAATCATCCAATAATTAATTACATGGTAATCATTATGAATAATTATCATTGCCAACATATTATGTTTAAGAGATCCAACGATTCTTGGATCATCAAAATCTGATATTTATACGCAAGTTTCACTTCCTGTGTTATTTTCAGAGAAGAAACCTTTATTAATAATATGCATATAAAATAAAAAAATCATAACAAGGAATAATCGTGAAAAGAGGATAGATTTTTAGTTGAATTATTTGTATAGAATCTATGCGGAGCTTATATAAATCATCTTATACTCTTTGATCTGCTCCATCTTCATCACTATAGGCAACCATGGTAGTTAATCCAGAAACGAAATTGGTTTGGATAATTACCTTGAGAATACATCCAAGTAGTAATTAGTAAATAAATAATCTTTTAATTATCATAAAAATTCATACAAATTTGAAGGATCAGACCACTATCTTATCTATTGTACTGATGGCATCTTGGATTGGTTTGAAGAGTGCTTGATGAGGACATCGAAGATCAACGGCTACGATCGTGTCTATTTATTTTGATGTATTTTATTTGTTATTTGTACTTTTTCATTTCTACCCTCACTTGAGGGCTTTGTTTTATGTTTGCGCTAGGGGCAATTGTGTCTTTTTTTATTTTCCTTCATGTATTGGCTATTTAAGCCCTCCCCTTCCTCTTGGAAAGGGATGATGATTATTGAATGAAAATTTTGCTCTTGTGTTCTCTTTGTGAGTTCCCTCTTGAAGATCTCTTAGTGAGTTTGTTTCTCATAGATCTCTGTGTGAGTTCTAGGGAAAGCCCAAGGTGAGGGCAAAAGCAATACCTGCCAGTCATTGGAAGAGCCCGTGGCTCGTGGTCTACCTCCACCATCCCAATTCTCCTTATCCCCCATTACCCGCCGGCCTGCAGGCCTTGCCGCCGCCTCCCCTCTAATCCGCCCAGACCGCCAGCCAACCTCCACACCATGGCCGCCCCCTTGCCACCCGCCTCTAGCCGCCGCCCCCCTTACTTTGAATTTCAAATTTGAAATTCCAAAGTTTTATGAGCATAAAATGTTTCCTAATTTTTCTCCCTAATTCATGCAATCAATTTATTTGAATTTCAATTTCGAATTTGAAATTCAAATTAATCCAATTGATTGTCTTCCTATTAGGAAACTCCTCTTTAGAAAATTGAAATTTAATTTCAGATTTTTGTTAAAACTGAAATTAAGATTGTGGTCCCCACCTCATTAATACCCAACCCCTCTCCCTTCCTCTCTCCTTGGCCGGCCACCCATATCCCCCATTTAATTAATTAGATCCCACAAATTAAGGATCTAATTAATTCAATCCCCTCCCCACTTTCCCTCCTAAACTCCACAAATTTCAAATTCAAATGTCTAAATCAATTGCTCCATAATTACTCCCTAAATCTGAAAATTAATTTTAGATTTCCCCATATGCTTTATCAAAGGAAATTAACTCTTGTTTCCCTCCACTGTCGTCCACGCAATTCCCCACCATACCCTTCAAGCTCACGTGCATCCAGGAAGAAATCTTGAAAATTTTCCTCGCCAGTTGTTGTCCAAGACTTCAGAACAACAACATTGCTGTCCAAAATAGCTCCAGGTTGCTGTCCAGGATCTATCCAAGACCAGCCTCCTTGTTTTCCAGAGAATTCTGGACGTTTGGTATGTGAGCCTGCCCTCCCACGAACTTGGAGATTGCTGTCCCAGTTTTGTTCTCCTGCTGTCCAGTAAATCCAACAGCTTTCTAGTGCTGTTTTGCCATTCAGAATACTCCCATTTGTTGCCCGGAAGACTCCATCGGCTGCCCACCCACAGAACTTCACCAAGATCAACCGCCACAATTCGGAACTTCCTCTGCGCACCTCAAACAAGACCTGCGAACTTGACTATGGTGAACTCTTCCCCAAGTTTCCTATTTTCTTAGTTTATTTTCAATTGTGGTTATATTTTGAACTCACAAAGTATGTCAAGTCTCTTTCACCGCTACGCTTAGAGAACTAGAGAGTTGAGTGAGGGACTTGTGCATAGTGCCTAATCTCATTATTAATTTAGGGATTTACGTTGAACCATTCATGTATGCAATGTTAGATAACTTGATTGTTTTCTGATCTTAACTTTTACCTGTGTGATTCGGCCTAGCTTGTCTTACCGCTCTTGTTGCGTCGTTTAAATTCACCATCAAGATATAATATTTGTTCTACGAATATAAGTGTGCAAATTCCTTAGTAATTCATCTTTGCATGTTCGTTTCACATCAGTGCTTCCTCGTACAGCCCCCTCTTTTAGATTGTAGTGGTGATTCACCCAGTATCATGATCTTTATGAACTATTATGATACCTAACTGCACTTTGTTATAGCACCAGTAAAATATAATAAATGTTTGCTTGAATCAGCTGATATATTACTTGATATTATGAGGAGAGTGAGATATTTGTTTGGGGGGGGAGGGGGGGATGGGAAGGGGGTTTTGTAGATTTCTTATAGTGTAGGAGAATATCGTTATGAACTCTAGGCTTGGTAAGCTGCATAGCATTCTTTGATTTTTTTTTTTTAATTGTAATGCATTAGGAAAACATTTTTTTAGTTTTGTTGATATCAGTTGGTCACATCGAAAACTATTTTTGACTTTGTTTTGTTTTTTTTGCCACACAAGAAAATCACTGCTACTCATAGAGTTTCTTAAGATGCTTTGCAAGTGGTCACACTTTATATGCTGCTTTCTATTACATGTTCGTGTTCCCGTACAACAACAACAAAAACAACATCAAGTCTTTATCCCATTACGTGGGGCGGCTACATGAATTATTTTTCTCCATTGTGTCATGTTAAGAGTCAAATTCTCATTTAAACCTAATAAAGAAAGGCCATTTCTAATATTTTCTAACCAAGTTTTTTCAGGTCTACCTCTTCCTTTCTTAACATAGGTCAAATCTAATACATCTACTCTCCTAACTGGGTCATCGGAAGGCCGCCGTTTTATGTGACCAAACCATCTAAGGCGACTCTCTTTAATATTATCTGCCACTGGAACTACTCCAACCTTTTCATGTATATGCTCGTTTTGTATTCTGTCTCTAAGAGTAAAGCCACTCATCCACCTGAACATCCTCATCTATGCAACACTTAACTTAATATTATGCTTCTCTTTATGGCCAACATTCTGCGCCATAAAGCATTGCAGGTCTAACCACCATCTTATAGAATTTTCCTTCAAGTTTGAGTGGTACTTTTCTATCACACAACAAGCCGATGCATTCCTCCACTTCAACCATCCAACTTGAATTCTACTAAAAATTGCCCCATCTATTTCACCATCACTCTGAACAATAGACCAAAAAAATAAATGTGATAAGTTAGTCTTTAAAAACAATGTAGTTGTATTGCTAAATGAAGTGTGTTGTCAGTGGATGGAAGTTGAAAGCCACACTTATGCATGGAATTTAAGGGCCTAAGACTAATGAAGTATGTTGACATTTTCTTTTAGTTTGAGGTTTTTACGGGCTGTGAGATATATTTTAAGACCAGTGAACGCACAACTTGTCCTCAAATTCGAACTAATTGTCTAATTATAACAACTATTTTAAGTCAAATGTTCCTGATTTGCTGGTTCGAGCCACAAAAAAAACCTCTCAACCCTTCATGCTTGGAAGTTCTGTTCTTTTTTCTTTATTATATCTTGGATTAATTTAGAGTCGATTGTATTGGATGTATGTTTATTTCTTGGTTTGTCAACTCTTTTTATGAAGGCCAAGGGCTCATCAAGTGGGGCATCAACAACCACCTCTATGCCAGCAAGTCAGGTAAGAACATGCTTTTGGTTTGATAAATTGAGTTCTTAAGTTTTCTTCTTTATATATTATTGAATATTATACTTCTTGGTTTGTGTGGTCTTTTGGAAGAAAATATTTCTGTTTCCTTTCATCAATGTAACTCTGTTAGCCTCATCCTAGAGTCATGACTTTTTTCATCCTGGTTACTGGAATGCTCTGAAATCTGTGCATAGTTTTACAATCCAAAAATTATTATTTTTAGCTATTGTTTGGTTTCTTAATGGATATTACGGGAAAAGTTTCAACTTATTTTACTTCCATGACAATTTCCCTGGTTAGTTCTCTGAGATATTGGCGATTTATTCCAGGAATAGCGTATTTAGTTATATTTGGAATTTTCTTTTTCATTTTAAAATTGATTATTTTGATGTGAAGTATAATTTCCTATAATTTCTATGCTTAACGAAGTTTTTCGATGCTTTCTCTTTATCAAAGCTTTTGTATTTTCATCTGTTACTTGGTGCATATGATGTGCCTTGATAGTTAACTCGTGATTTTTTTTCCTTGTATAGCCTCCAACAGTTAGCTCTACGCCTGCTAACCCTTCCATCCCAGCACCAGCACCAGCACCAGCACCAGCACCAGCACCTGCACCTGCTCCAGCCACAACTGCAGTACCAACCCCAGCTACGTGAGAATTTTTAAATTTTTATATACTATGCTTTTGAATTTCAACTTTATTCAGATTCAAATCTTCTTCTCTCCCTCTTAAGATGGGTCAAACTAATTATTTTTTATGATCTATCTATTTTTTTTTGTTTTTTTCTGCTTGAAATTCCTATTTGAAGCAGGTTGCACGCAACATCACCTACTCCCACAGATGCGCCAGCTCCTGCAGTTATCGCATCGTAAGATACCTGACATTCAAATAATTCATATACAATTTAAATCATGCTCACATAAGCTTCTGAATTTCATCTCTTCATGAACGGGGAAGTTTGCAGACATAACTGCCAGTAGATAATGTTATCTAAACAGATTTAGAAGTCTTAAATACGTTTGTTATTTGTATACTTTTGTGATGTAAGATAAAGTTTCATACAAAATCTTTATTTGCTGTTTCCTTCTTTGTTTTTTTGCAAACGATGAACTTTATATGGTCTGAATTCCTTTCACTGGCAAATCAGTGATTGTATGTTTGATTTTTTTATTCATATTGTCTCTATAATGATTCATTGGTATCTCATGCTCTTTTTTTTAATTCTAATAAAAATCCTTTTTTTTTTTGGTAAAATTTTTTTCTTGATAATGTAGACAGATGCAATTGTACTTTTATTTTTTTTTTCTTGTAATGATTGCTTCCGCAAGTACTTTTCCATACGGATCTGATATATCTATTGTGAGTATGTGGAAACATATGTGCATTGACATAGTGATTGTTATACGTCCTAATTAAATTTTTTATTTATCTTCTTTTTTGTGTTTCCTTTCTCAATTTATATGATCTATTTGTTTATGGTAAATTTGTCTTTGGCCACTGGCCAGTATTTTATTCTGCCTTTTGCTTGCTTTTTTAGCTTTTGTTTTCACACTGTTGCTAGCAATCTCACTTCTTGCAGATTGCAAGAGCTTATTTAGCTGATGGTGTGAATGATTTATGGCTATTAATATTCAATATATTTTTCCTATTTAATTCTACGCTATATATCGTTTTTGCGCAGCAATTCTGTAAGTGATTATTGCTGCTCAAGATTTTCAGCTCATTTCATAATTGATTCTATTCACTGTTGTTTCTGTATTTTTAATTTTGTTGTCGCAGTACTGTAGTTGATGCATATGGTCAAGCAGCATCAAATCTAGTTGCTGGTAATAGCCTCGAACAAACCATCCAAGAGATTCTTGATATGGGTGGAGGGACTTGGGATAGGGACACTGTTGTTAGGGCCTTGCGAGCTGCATTTAATAATCCAGAGAGAGCTGTTGAATATTTATATTCTGTAAGATATTTTCCTTAATTAGTACTTTCGTTTGTTGTAAACATAAGAAAAGTTGGTTTCTGTTAATTCTATAATACGGCAAAGTACTTATTGTGATGAAGATCGAGTTTATAGGCTCAAAATCTGGTGTCGTCCAACAAATAATGTATACCTATGTCATTTATAGTTAGATTTCTTGCATATGCTAATGAGTCGGCTTGCTTAAAAAGAATTGTGTTAAGTAGGGTGGTTTTGAGTTGAGTATGAACCAGATTGGCTCAACTAATCAAAATTGAAGATTTTGGATTGGCTTGAAAGTTGATTCGACTCAAGCATACCAAACAAGATAAATTCAGCGCAAGTTGAGCGGAAATCAATTTTGATTTTTAGTTTACTAGATATTTGAATTTACATAATTCTATAAAAAATATAGTATATACATTACATATTAAATATAACTATATATTTATACCCACATGCATTGAAATAGATATGAAGTGTCTTGTACTTGTATCAGGGCATTCCTGAGCAAGCTGCGGCCCCACCTGTTGCACGGTCTCCTACTGGTGAGCAGGAAGCAACTAGCCTTCCTGTTGAGGCACCACAAGCAGTGCAGACTTCAGTTCCATCAACCGGTCCTAATGCAAATCCTTTGAACCTATTTCCTCAGGTATCTACGGATTTTTATTGTGAAATTTTGTATGTGCTATTAAAACTATCTTAAGCCCTAGCTTCATTAATTTATATGTTTCAGGGTCTACCCAGTGTGGGATCAAATGCTGGTGCAGGTAGCCTTGATTTTCTTCGAAATAGTCCTCAGGTATGTTGAATATCATTACAAGCAATAATGCTGTTACAAACTGTAATTTTAAAGATATTCTTGCTTTTCTTTGTAGTTTCGAGCACTGAAGGCAATGGTGCAAGCAAATCCTCAGATTCTCCAGGTCATATATCTCACTATGGCATGTAAACTTTATGTTTCTGAATTAGTTCATAACTTGTGCGATTAAAAATTACCTCTCCCTGTTCACAGCCAATGCTTCAGGAACTTGGCAAGCAGAATCCACATATTATGAGGCTCATTCAGGAGCATCAAGCTGAATTTCTGAATTTGCTAAACGAACCATCTGAGGGAGGAGAGAACAATTTATTAAGTCAATTAGCTGAAGCAATGCCTCAATCAATAACTGTTACTCCTGAGGAGCGTGAAGCAATAGAACGGGTATGTTTTCCTGAATTTAGTTTTATTATGTACAGCTTTTACTGCAATATTTTTTGGAAAGGTTTTGAGAACCATCTCAATGAAGATGATGCACTGTTTATTATTTCTTGATTTAGCATATGCAATTTTAACTTGAAAAATTAGTTTAGTAAACATAGAAACATAAACTAAACAAAATACCGATAGGACTTCTTGATCAAAACAGCACATAACAATATAAAAAACCGCAACTTAATTCCAAATAGATCAAAAAATTATACAAAGAGAGCTGTTTTTACTAATTTCCAAGTAAAGCAAGACATGAGAGGTGAATCGTCTTTCCCACAATTCCTAGCAGCTACTAGGAATCCAAAACCTCACTAAAATTGCTGCAGAAATTCAAAACATAACATAAAAATCCCAACCCACCATAATCTCCTCCCTTAAACAGCTCAAAACCCTTTATAAATGTCCCTTACATCTTTCCCAAAGAGTTTTCTCCTAAAGCCTCTTCTCCTATAGGTGATAAAAGAGGTCCTGGGCCCCACCTGGGGAGCTGGACTGCTGCTGCCAGCTGCATCAAATACCTCACAAGCCTCTACTGCGTGACTTACATATACAGTTATCCAATCGAAATTCAACACAACATCAAATGCGTCATTATCTTGAAAATATAGTCAACTCTAAGGGGTGAGCAAACCTCAACTTGGCGGAAAAGTTTTTCCTCCAATACGTTTAGGTTAATATCATGAATATGATTCTTGTAATCTTTCTCCACTAATAATAAAGCGCATGAATGCTACCAGGATATATCTGTCAAATATCAAATAGAATTGTATCCCTATAGAATTGTATGCCTACTAACATGTTGGAAAATAATGATTTGTATTTCAAGTGAATAAATCAATCACTATGTTTAAAGGAAACAATCAAATGTATCCTCCACAAAGCACATAATATGTTGGTTCCATTGAAAATGAATGGTGGGCAGCGCTAATAATAGCGTTTACATGTTTGTTGTTTAAAAATTATGGTTTCAACACCAAGGATGCATCTTAAGGATGGCTTATGACTCACACTTAATGCTCACTCAACCCCAAGTGATACTTCCATCTAGAAACATGCCCCTTCCCAACAACTATGAGGTACCGACACGATTATATCTGACGACTTATGCAAATCCCAAAGGGTTCTCTTATTACCATTTCTTCTGATTCACATCATCATTCCCTTAAGGTTTAACATCCTACAACTTAACCACCACCTGACACGTGAATTATGCATTACAAAAAGGTAAGTACATGGGAAATTTTACAATTTTACAAACAACCAATTTTTTCCAGTTATTTCGTTATGCACTTTAAGCTATTAGGAGATTGCACTTCTATCTGGCAATAAGACATCCCCTGATGACCTTTATTCCCTTATTGAATATCAAAGGAAAAATTTTAATTTTCTTTGTACAGTAGCGTACAAGCATATCATGCGATTAACATCACATTTATAAGATATCTTATTATCATTTTCACTTGAATGTGACAGCCATTCACATGCGATGCATGTGCAATCATTTTGAAAGATCAATAATTGTGTCACATATGAGCTATATGCAATGATATTTCATAAAAATTTTGTTATCCAATGATCTAATTTGTATATTGTTTATTATGCAAATAACTTTTATCAAATTATCTTTTGTGTCTCAAGAAATATGATATGGGAGAGGGCAGCAGGCTAGGGGCGGAAAGGGCAAGGGATTTGGTCCCCTTTGTGGGGCCCATTAAATCTATCATTACATATGTGAGAAGAGGAATTAAGGAAGGGATTAACTAGGAAGGATTTTCTAATTGAAATTCAAATTGGAGAGGGAAATATATTAGAAAAGAGGGACTGATTTAGGAAGAGATTAATTATGAAGGATTTCCTAATTGAAATTTCAAATTAGAGAGAAAATATATATTGGGGGGGGGGGGGTGGTGAGCGTGGATGGGCTCGACTTAAGGAAGGGACTAAAGTAAATAGCTATTAAGGGTTAAGGCTAAGTTTAGGGTTTGTTTTGTTTATGCAGAATTTTATTTGAAAGTTGTTGTAGTTTTCTTTTCGTGAGGCCTTCTTAGTGGCTTCTAGGTTGTTTGGAAGAGTCGATCTACCTCTCGAATTGTAGATCGTTTGTATATTTCTTTTTATTGAAGTTATAATTAAAAATCAACCATCTATATTTATATTCTTGCAGTTTTTTCATTGTGTTTGCTATTTTTGTTTCCAAGATGTATTAAATTGGTATTAGAGCGAGGATTTTGGAGAAATAACAATAAAGAAGGTGGGGGAGTTGGCAAGGGGAATGGACAATCGTAGAGGTAGGTGGCCGAGTTGAGCCATGGGGATTGGGTCATGGAAGATAGATGGAAGAAAGGTGGGATGCCCACCCTCGGTACACGTGGGTGGGGGGGACTATCGGCGGGAGAGGAAGTTGGAGTGGATAAACAAAGGTGAGGAAGTTGAAGATGCCGGTGTTCGAAGCGAGGATGCCCATGGGTGTGTATATCGGGTGGAGAGGTACTTTGCGGTGAACGTGTTAAGAGAGGTTCAGAAGCTTACTGTTGCAGGATTATGTCTAGAAGGGAAAGCTCTTGTTTGGTTCAAGTGGAGAGGCTAAATACTCGATATGCTCGTGGGAGGAGTTTAAGGATTGCTTGTTGGAACATTTCCGAGCCATTTGAGAAGGAAATCTATACGAGCAATTCTTTGATTTGATTCAAGAGGGGATTGTCAAGGAATACATAGAGAAATTCGAGCTGTTGTCAGGACGGTTGAGGGGAATTTTAGAGGCGGCCATGAAGGAAAATTTCATGAAGGGCCTCCAGCCCGACATATGAGTGGACCTTCTCAATTGCTGAGGCCGAGGGGATTGAAGGAGACGATGGAGCTAGCACAAATATCAGAGGATAGGAGGCAGAGGGAGAGAAGCAGCAAGAACAGGGTTGCGGGTGTCTCTTATAGAAGTATTTCAACTTCATTGGCATTGAGGATCCAGATAGGATCATTTCAATGGGAGGCACTAAGGGAGAAGAGTGGGGGAGTTCGTTGTTGACCCCTATACCTCAAACCACACAAGAAAAGACACAAACTGATGAATAAAGCAATATGAGCCTTGGCACCACACGTCACTTGAAGGGTCAAACGACCTCCGATTGCCAAACGGACTTTGTCATTGCATTCAGAACATTGCAAATACTCAAAAGCTGTATTTTATATGTTCAATTTAAATCATCATAATGGGTGACACGAATTTCGAAACAACACGCAAATCGAGGCGGTACCATGCAAACATTACCCTCGGTGTGCTCAAATGACGTCCGATCATGAAATGGACTTTGTCGTTGTGTTCGGAACAGCGTCAATACCCTAAATGCACTATTAATTTGTTTAATTGAGGTTGTGCACGCAAATCGAGACGATCTCATGTAAAAATTATCCTCGACATTGCTCAAACGACGTCCGATCGCAAAACAGACTGCGTCATTGTGTTCGGAACACCGAAATCACCCTAAATGCACTACCAGTTTGTTCTATTGCGGTTGCGCACGCTAATCAAGGCAGCCCCATGTGAAAATTACCTTCATCGTCGCCCAAACGATGTCCGATCTCAAAACGGACTGCTTTGTTGCGACCGGAATATCGGCAATACGCTAAATGCACTATTAATTTGTCTAATTTTGACATTCAGCAAATTCGACACGCAAAACAAAGCAGTTGGCACGCAAAACAGAACAGTTGGCACGCAAATCGAAAAAATGCATGTGAAACGATGCAATTTTGAACAAATGAGGCACTGCTGTCCTCTTGAATTCAAGCCTAATGACCATACACTAATGTGACTATTAAATTAAATCTTCTTTAGCAAAGACAGATGCCAAAAGAGGAAAAAGAGTCAAATACATTAAATGCCAATCAGTATGTCACCTCGCTTTGTCTAGCTCATGGTCACTTCAGCTTTGTATAACAGCTGGCCCGTTGCTTCAACTGAACGGACACGCTCCATCTAAAGGATCCCCAAGCAAACTTCCACACCCAAGCTCTCTCCACTACCTAGCCCTTCACGTGAGAAGCTCCTGCTCCGTCCCTCTCTTCCTCATCACGTCCACAGCAACTGCTCTTCTCTACTTCTGCACCCTACTTCTCAATCTTCTCGGTTTGCCTGTCAATAGCCGCAAGTTCCAACTCTTCCTAAGCTCATGACCTCAAGCCAACCCCTTCCAAGTCGTCTGCCTTGAAGACTGCTGTTCTTCTCCCACTCCAACAGCAACAACAGCATCCCTCATCCCTCTAACAGAAAACAACAGCTATTTGTTGTTTTGCTTCCACTCCCTCTACTCCTACAACTCCTATCTCCTTTTTCGTCTCCGCAGCTCCTCTCACGAGTAGGATGGCAAAGAGGGATTGAATAGAAAATATCAAGGATGCTGCTCTCTATTCGGCTGCCAAGAGAGGGAAAACGTGTTGCTCTCCACTTACCCAACCTTTTTTTTTATTTCTACAGAAATTTGGCCGGCTCTCCTAATCACTTGTTCGGCTAAGAAGGAAGCAAGGAACAAAAGCTGCATTAGTTTGGAGCAAGAGAATAAGGAAAGCTCGGTGAATCTTTATGCCTACAACGGTTTAGAGCAGAAAATTGTCTGAGCAAGAATCAAATGGAGACATATTAGAGCTGCTCTTGGTCTCTCTTCTGATCAAGAAAGTGAGGAAGACGTGTTGATTTAATTATTCTCTTAAGCAAGAGACAAAAGGGCTGCTATGTGCTCTAGATGTGCTCCATATGGCATCTTTGTTGAAGGATTGTAGAGCTACAAAGAGATCTTCAGACACTTAAGCTATAAGAAAATCCAGAGGAGCCCCATGTGAAGCTGTGCTGTGACGAAAGATTTGTGAGGGGTTTGAATTTTGATGAACATCTTATGGAGAGCTAGTTTGATTCATTTTGGACCAGAAGGCTCTTACTTCACCTCAGTATAAACTTTAAA